GGACCACCCTGTGACCCTTGGCTCTCTCTCACCCCGGTTAGGCGGGGGAGAGAAGGGGGGGGTCTGAGGCAGGGGGCCTCAAACTGTGATTCTTTACTGTCAATGTTCTTTTGAATTTATGACCACCTAGGCTTTGCGTTGCAGACAAAAGTGGAGTGCTGGGAGTCTTTATATATATATATAATATAGTTTACATATAGTATAGTATAGTATAGTATAGTATAGTATATATATAGTATAATATATGGAAGCACTGGAAGGTATGACTGCACAATAATGTTCAAGACAAAACCTCGAGGTGCCGGTCCTTGCATCCGGGGAATGCCGGATTTGGCTCATCAGCTGACACGAAACATTGGAAATGAGATCATTCACCTGGCATTGCTGATTGTTCAGACTTAGAGTTGGAAATTTTGAAACCCCGGTTTCTGTAAGTTGGCTTGTGGAAAAAACCCGGCAAGCACGGGCCCGTGGCTGAGCCAAAGGCTCAGTCAAACACCTGCGTACGCCATGGATTACTCGCCGTTGGTGGCAGGTGCCATGGAGATCCTTGGAGAATTTGCATGGCAGGGTGAGAGTAGCATTTGCTAAATGCCATTGCGAACTCCAGATCCGTTCTCCCACCAAAGGCATGGCACCAGTTGCAAGCGCCCCTAGCTTACCTGTACAAGCAAGAACGCCCAGCCCATGAGTAGCCAGCTTCTAGGGCTACATCGATTTTCCCTGGGACCTTCACTTCCTTTTGTGCAAGTTCAGCTCCTTGAGTGTATGCAAAGTCAACGGAGGGGGACGGCATCGATAGGCCTGCGGTTTGTTCTCAGTCCTTGTGACAATCTAGCCCAGGAGATGCTTTGGCAAGGAAGGGGATATGTATGTGGCTGCTGGGTCAGCAAAAAAGCTGGCAATTCATAAACGACTTGTGGTGACTTTGATAATATGCCGTCGACCAACTCAAAATCCGATTGCAAAGTGGCTAAAGAACAAAACACGCATATACAATCGATGAACTGCTCAAGGTGGTGATGAGCAATGGGGCCCCGACAGCAGAATACCTTGTCTACTCTGCATTTGTGGCTGCCACTTGGCTTCGCATTTCAGAGATCTTGCGCAGAAAATGTAAAGTTCTGTTTCATGCATTGAGCCCGCTGACAGCCCTTGAACTCATAACCGTGGGAGCTTCCATGTCCGCAGAGAGCCGTGGCATGATCGCCGATTGGAACCGGCAAAACTAAGGCCTGGTCTGATAAGCTCACTCAACAGGTTTCTTTGGGGAAGAGGCCTTGGTCTTGGGCAACTCGCACTGTCATTCCGAAGTTGGTCATCCTATGCAATCTGCATCAATCACGCGATTTTAGTTGAATTATCATGTCAAGTCAATTTCTGCTTCTCAAGGGGGTGATGTTTTCAGACACTGTGCAAGGTGGGAGGTGCACAATTTCTCAGTGGCCGCAGTGGAAAGCTTCCTCAGGCAAACAAATCCAATCCAAGTCAGAATTTTTGATTCACTCAGGGCTCTTGATTCAAGTCTCCAGCTAGGTTCCTGTATTCCGGGCGGATGCCTCCGAACACTACGGTGGCTATTGAAACAGCTCTTATGGCTGAGATGTATGGCGTAAAGGAGGGCCTTCTTCGTTACGACATCCTCTTGCGAAAATCGACTGTGCCGCTTTAGTTTGTAATTCTTTATGCTCAGAACATGTTTTTCTTCAACTTGGATTCAACTTGCCAAGGAGTCTAGCATGCTTCTGGTGTTAAGTGCTGAACCCCCATCTATGACTTACTGACTTACTGTAGCAGCACTTGTAGAATCAAGTTGGATTGCGTGGCCAACATGACACTCCAGGCAGCTAGTGGCTAGTGACTGGACCTATCTTTTTTATCACTTCCCTTCTTTATAATTGCTTTTAAGCACATGGCACTATATATGTACACATAAGTAAATATATAAACTAAAAATATATATACACACACCGGCAACTAAGACGATGGTCGCATTGCAGGGCTACAGGAATTGTTAAGATCACTATTCTGAGCCATCAACGCTGACTTCCAGGAACCTGGAAAAGTTATTGAGCATGTCTTACGTGGGTTAGATGTGCCCACCAGGGACATCTATGCTGCTTGGATCAGGAAGTGCACGCAAATTGAACCTGTGTGAGGATTCAAGTTCTTGCATGCATTCCTTTAGTGAACTAGTGCAGGGGTCCAGCAAGTACATAGGGGCAAACAGCACGTTGTTCAGTCTGTGTCATTTCAGGCTATGTTGGAAGTGGCGCATCGCTTCCCTGATCACGGGGTTCACCTGAGGAGTGCCTGCCTTCGTTGGGGCCCAAGTGTGCTAGCTGTCCCTTGGGGTTGGCAGCGCTTTAGCAGTTGGGATCATTTATGCGCATGTAATATAATGTAATATCATGTAGCATTAGTGATTTTGTTAACATTTTGTTTTTATTCCCTTCAGTTGTGTTGCTTCTCACAAGGTGCCCTGTTGGCAGACCCAGAGCAGAGTCTTCGTGAAGCTTGGACGCTGAACGCACGGATCTTGGAAGAGTTACTGTCCTTGGCCAGCAATGCCGCTTGGATGGTCAAATGGAGAGATGATCCAGTGAGATGAGACGCGGGGCTGCAGAGAAGATTCGATCTAGCTTCCAGCTGCACTTTCTGAGGACATTGGCGACTATGAACTTGCAAAAATGATAATTTCTTGGCAGGACCTGAGCATTTGCGCAGGGTTCCAACTGCTTCAACACAGAAACCACCCAAAGGTTGCTTGCAGCGGCTTTGCTAGGAGCAGAACCCACACCAGAATTTTGCGGACATCATGCAGGAGTGCTTGGGAACATCTTCCCTTGGACAGAGATCGCAACCTATAATGAAAGTACGGAGATATTAATAACACTCATAATAAGAAGCCGTTTGGGCCGGTTGGGCCCCAAACACCTTAATTATTTTCATTCCTTTTCTAAAAGTACTTTTTTACATCAAATACCCGTTAGATACCCGTTAATTTCCTCCAAGAAATGGTTGCAACAGCATTTTCATGGATGATATACAGTAATCACATATTTTCCATGCCCAACCAATTCGTAGAGGACATTCTCTAGATGTCTCACGCTTGAAAATCATTGGACATGTGAATTGGTGCAAGGTCACTTTCTAGACGTTTGGCACAACAGCGATAGAACACAGGGACACCATTTTGTCCTTACATATTTTGAGAGCTGATAATCTCTATAGGAAATGGTTGTTTCCACGTCTTGCTAGTGATCAATCAATATTGTTCAAGAACAACTCTTTCCAGCGCCTCTAGAAAATGCCAGTTTACAGTTTTTACTGGTCCGGTTTAACTCGCAAGGAACCTGTACAAGACCATTTTGCAAGGGGGCGTATTTACCTGTCCGCAAAAACAACTTATAATGTACCCAAAAGTGCATTTTACTAGTTAGATAATGGTCAATCCAGCTTAACTTTGAAATTGAAATTGCGATCCTTTTTTGTTGGTTCGTATTAGTATTTCAAGTTGTTTGCTGTTAGTCACTGCCGTAGGAACACGTAAGCTTTGGCGGCTTTAACGACCAGCGCTTCCAAGAGATTCGTGGCCTTGCTATGTTTGATTGTAGCTCAGAAGGCTTGAAGCACACGCACACACACACACTATGAATCAGCAAATGGTTCTAGCATCGGCTGGCCACACAGCAATGCTCCGTTGGTTGCTTTAGCTTTGAGGCTACCATGCTGACCGCGTGGGGTTGGGCTTTGTAGCAGATACTATGTGGGCAGAAGCGCAGGCAGAGGGACCTGGAGCACGGTGGAGTCTTCATGAGCTTATGTCGCAAATGATAGCCTATGGTAGCTGATGGTAGCCACAGTTGAGCTTCCTGCGATTCGACCGTTAAGGCATCCTCTGGCGAGTGGACTCCAGACATTTTCAAGCTGTTAGAAGCAAAGTGGGGTGTCCAGACGCTTGGAGCAAAGCCAAATCGTTTTGGTAGCATTTGTTCAGCAACGAAAAACTGCCTTCACAGAGTGACGTCATAGCATTGTTTCGACGGGGTGACCGCGTAAGTTAAGGTGCCAAGAGCATCGCCGCCACATGCCATTCATGGGTGTATGGATCAACTTGATCCCAAGCAATTTGGGCTGGCCGCTTGCTGAATTCAGCTTTGTGCTTTCACAAGCTTTCACAAGCCATTCACCTGAGGACTACGGCACATTAGAGTATTCTCATTGGCAGTTCATAAATCTGCTTTTGTTCGTATTGTTCAGGAAGGCTCCACCACATACCCATGGGCCACACAAAGCGCAGGACCGCACAGTTCACCTTTTAGATTTGCAATTATCGTGCTTGCAGCTTGCAGCATGGACCACGAGTTGCCACTGAAGCTTTTTCTCAAGGAGGAGGTGGCGCGAAATGTTTTGCCGCTGGAGTTGCAGCCAGGTGGGCTTCCTTTGACGTGTTGTCACGGCTAGCTCTTGCAATGCAGCAGCGTCAGGCGAGTCAATGACTTGGTTCCTGCCTATTCATACGATCCACGTGAGTGGCGTCAACTTTCCTGATTCTTTGCCTCAACAGCCTTTTTGTGCTTAGCCTCTGCGATTGTCGAACATCGGCTCATTTGCCAATCCTGAGGAAGAATACCAAGCTGACTTGAATGGTGAAGCCTGCATTGAGCTCTACAGTTTCTCTACATTTGCAGTTTTGACAAGCTTGAGAGATTGCACACATGCGTTGCACGACAATATGTATACTAGTATACTGTAAGCATGCTCAAGCTAGCCAAGGCTCAACCAACGGCTGCAACTGGCAGTTGCTTTGGAACTCAGTGCGGAGCAGCTACTCCTGCCGCACCAAGGAGACCTCTGCAAGATTGTCCTTGGTGATTTGGTACCTTATATATATATAAATAAGATGAAAAAAACGTTGCATACGCACAGTTGGCTGTCCTTAGGCTGTGCTTAGACACGCTTCAAGTTAAGCTACAGCTATCTCTTCAATGCAACATTCGTAACCCCTTTTTGCACAGAGAGCGGAACCTCGTGAGGACAGAGTGCGATGGTTCAAGCTCACGGCCAAGCATGTCCCCTTCAAAAATTTTCTCCAAGTACAGGGTGTGGCCCATGCTGGCTAGACAGGCCAGCCGCCAAATTTCATTCAGATCCTTACTAGGCTGAATGGACAGCAGCAAGCATGACAATGCATGACATGACATGAACACTTAGTTTGCTCACAATCCTGTGACATTGTAGATAAATCCCAGGTTTGATCAAAGATGTTTGGCATTCATCCGTGTTGGCAGGGCAGCTTCTACACGACTTTGCGCTTGATCGAATTCATGAACCTGCCGCTCGGGGTTGGTTCCATGTCGCCGAGTGCTCGACAAGGAAGTCTTTTGACAAAGCACAGGCCACATGGACTTCGGCCCTTTAGGCTAATTGTATTGCAGAATTGGAGGCCCAAGTCCTCGACCCTCAGCGGGAGTACATTGTGGCACCCCAGACTTCCCAACCAATTCTGCTTGTCCTTGGGGAAAGGTAGGCTTTTGTTTTCTGCTTCGCACTCCTAGAATCCCGAGGAGGAGTCCTGTCAACAGCAGTGCCATGGGCCGTTTTGCTCTCTTTGGCATTGTGGGGGCTATGCCTCCGATCAGATCCCTTGGGACGCTAGCAGAACCATTGCCAATCCTTCTTGATCCTTATATTCTTTCTCAGGGGTTGTTGTAAATCTGTCAGAGAACTGGATATGTCGGGGACCTGACTGACTTGATCCAACGCAAATGAATGTGCTGGGTCGCTACGAATGCTCTGAGATTCTTTTGACTTGCCTCTTCTGGGGACTTCTTATACATCCCAACCACCGAGTCTTCTTACGAGAGCCGCTCTGCAGAAGATGATGACACTGAAAATTTCAGGGCATGCATCCTTCACCCCCGAAAGGGGAGTGAGGCGCACAATTGCACGGCATATTCTTCCTTAGGAAGAATGATTCCGACACATTGAGATGCAGCGGCGTTTGCTGTATGTTGCAAGACAAGGGGTTGATGAAGCACGTTGGAATCATGAGGAGCAAGCCCTGAAACCAAAGAGATGAACATCATCCGTTGGAGGAGAAACCTCAGAAAGGTCGCAAGCCGGGAACGCGCGAGGGGGGCTGTTCCGCTTTGCCAGAATCATTGCATCAAGCAGACTAGGGGCTCCTGCCTTACTACTGGGCAAGAAGCTGCTAGAGGCTCCTGGCATCGCTACTAGGAGCAAGGATGCTATTAGCTTGGGATGCCAAAGGGCAGCCATGCAATGTCTTTGGATCGAGACAAGCGTCCCGCCTTGTTACAGGCTCAGGTAGTGAGGGACATGGACAGCTTCGTCAAGTTTGCCCGGAAGTGCTTGAAGTCTGCTGCCAAGGGGCCAAGGGGAACTCCAGGCCTAAGGAGAAGGGAAGCAGATAATTAGATCCTGCATGGGAAGTGATAAACAAAGACAACTCTTGATGGACTGCAGGGAACACTCACTGACTTACTGCTAAGATTTTGTAAGCCTCTTTGCTGAGGGCGTTGGAAGCATAATATTTTTATAAAACGTTTCTTTAGGGATAGGCTTTGAGTACCTTCAACCGCTGAGTTGTATTTTTTGCGGCCTGAAGAATACGTTGTTTGCCGCACCGCTGCCCGCACACTCAAGCGATAGGATAGCAGATTCTTTCTTGGTTCGTTTGCTTCAAGTCATTTCAAGTCTCTTTATAACATTTTTGGTCCATGTTGGTCCTGAGCCAGAATCGACGCTGGAGACCACAGTTCACAGAGAAGGAAGCACCTTCAGAATAAACCTGGACCAGCAAGCAGACTTGGCAAAACCCACATGAGCGGCTGCAGCCACAGGCGCCATTTGTGTTTGGCGAGGAGGAGTGGGCAGTGGCTTGCATGACCCAATCATGTCAACCGGAGGTTCACCAATAGAGTCATAGAGGGAATCTTGGCCATTTTGTTTCAGAGCGGTTTCCTTTCTTCATGGTGTGACCAACCAGCCGTCCCTAACAGTGTGCGATGCTGAAGTCCTTTCGTTGCACGATTCATGTCAGCATCAATTGTGGCAGCAGTCCATGATAGCTCCCATGCGTGCAGGGAACTCCACACACCCGCTGGCAAGCTTGTATTCCCTTGCCCAGACATGTTGGGAGCATGCATCTCTTAGTACAGAATTGGCTAAGCATTTGGTGGGGCAGATGTGAATGTGAACATCGCTGAGTGCAGTGCAATTGACATCAATTCTACTGCTTTCTGGATCATTTGCAGCACCCCACCGGTGTTTGAAGGGCCAAAGCGCTTGACAAAAGCTTTTGCTGATGTCCGTGGTCCTTTGGCTCAGTTAGATCCTCCAAGTCTCCTTGTGCTTCCAGCGAAGCAACTTGGATTAACTTCAAGTCAATCTTGCAGGACGGGCTAGGCAATATACTGCCTGAATGCACGGATGAGGTGATGAGTGTAAATCTTTGACGAGTCACAAAAAGCAGACAGAGGAGGGAGAGAGAGACAAAGAGAGAGTGCCCCAAAGAAACTTACTATATACAGGACCTCTAAGAGCTTCCCATGGTCGGCGGATAGTCAAGGGTAACTTGAGCGACGAAAAGGCTTTTGGAAGTTGACCACAGGGTGATTGCATGCCCAGGCGCTCAACATGGATGGAGATGAGACACTCCCAGCATTTCCTGAAGCGGCCGCGAGGCGGAGATGGACTCGATTCAACTTGTAAGTCAAAAAGGCGCTCAAAATGCAATCTTTGTGTGGCAGAAAAAAGGTACCACATGACTGTAAGATATATATCCTGCTGGCCACCTCTTTGCCCAAGCTTGGGAGGACAGATGCTGAAGCTGCAGAAGGTCAGGCAGCTGCAGTTCACGAGGTGCACAGGGCAAGCAAGAATACACGTGGCAGGCAACCACACCACATTCCTTTGATTGGAGGCCATCGCTATTAGGGTGGAGGCCATCGCTACTAGGTTGGAGGCCATCGCTATTAGGTTGGAGGTCATCGCTATAGGGTTGGAGGCCACCGCTATTAGGTTGGAGGCCATCGCTATGGAGGCCATCGCTACTAGGCTG